GGGACAGCAAAAGGACACATGCCTGATGTGCAAGGAGCTTTCCTACCTTAGTGTAAATCAGAAAGCTTTCCCCATCCTGCCTATAGTCTGTGCCATCTCCTCCTTTTCTGTACCCTTCTGTCTAAAGCATGTCAGGTACACAGTTGCTTGCTGCAGGTGAAGTTATGTGAACTAAGATCATGTGTTTATTTCTGCAGTTGCAAGTCTTTTATAATGCTACATTGGAAGAGGATGAAAGAGTGGCTGCTACTCTACTACTGGAGTTTACAAAAGATGAAAATATGGAAAGGAGGGAACTGCTAATCAAAGTTGCCAACTGGTTACAGAAAAATGTAGATGATTGACTTGGTAAATTTCCAGTATATTTTAGAGTGTGATTCACTATCATTTTGGTATCCATTTTAATATGTAATTAAAGATAAAGCACATTTTTATGAGTCCTGTGGTTGTCTTCCCAACTGGAGAGTCGGGCTAAAATAATTCACAAAGAAAAGAAAGATTCAGCAAAAGAAATGAGAGATATATTTTCATATTATATCTAAATTAATTTCCTACTGGATGAGTAGTTAGTGAGGATGCATTTGCTAATAATAATCTAACATATAGATACAGTCCTAATCCTTTAGTTTTTTTGAATATCAGAATGAAATGTGTGGTACAAGTTTATGGCAAATACACATGAGGAAGCTAGAAAAGTTTTATATTCTGTTTTGTTTAGGATTTGTATTATGACATTGGACAAGTCACTATGTCTCTCTCCACCTCTGTGTTTGTAATTTACGAAGAGGACAATCATTTAAAACAGTGCCATGAAATGTGAACTTGAGAATGGCTTCTGAGCTGTAGGGAGGAAAGGAGTAAAGAAACCTCAAATTTTAATTGTAATAAATGAATGTCTTGTCATTCATACTTTATTTTCCCTTAATAGATCTGTATTTAATGTGTCTATGTTCACATTTGTGTTTGATTAGGAATATGCTTTCGAAGAGACCTTCTCAGTTGTCTCTGTTATCATGCTTCAACCTGCAGTACAGTCCTGGAGTGTGTGAACTGGATTCTTTTTGGATTAAATTTATCTAGGAATACATTTAAATATATTTAAGGAAAACATTGCCATTTTGGATGCAATGAATCTCCTCTGCTCACCATGCCTGCAAAGAAAAATTGTAATTATTTTGGGACTACCTGAGGATCGCTTTAGTGTGTGGGAATTACCAGCTGGTGCAGCAGTTGGAGTCATTTGACCTCTTGAGCATTTGATCCAGTTAAGGGTAGTGCCAAAGAAAATTGTATGCATTCTTGACAGTCTTCATCAAGCTGATTCAGAAAGTGGAGGAAAACATTGAGGCTGTGATGAGTTAGAGGGGTTTTGCTTCAGCGTTTCCTGTGACTCCCTCTGCTTAGTCACTTGCTCTGCATGCCTCTTCGGGTGGACTAAACAAAGATCAGGAAAGTCATTGTTGCAGGATTTATGGATTAAACTTCCTGTAACAACACTCTAACTCTAAGCTCAATAGATCCAAACCCTTTTCTTCCAACCATGAGTAACTACTCTTCCTTTCTAACCACTCTTCCTTATTATTCTTTTATTATACGTTTCTTCTTTCTACTGAACAAAACTCTCAATTAGAAATGTCAATATATAAACAATTACTAAACCAATTTAAATTAAGAAGTTATTTTCAAATAATGGCTTCTGACTAATGTGTGCCTCACATTCTGTATTGCAGAATAGCAGCACAGTTTTCATGGCAGAGGCAAATGGTGAGGGTGATTGCTAGGCAAGCTGCTTGAGTAGGAGCAGATCTGAATCACTTTTGTTTCCAGAGTCCACGCATTTGCACTTGGTGGCATATAACATCAATAGCTGTATGATGGCAGTTCTTGCTGCTGTTGAGTACAAGTTGAGCACAGAGGTTTGGAGCATGGCAATGGGGAAATGCAGCAGCAAGAGAAGGAGAGTACATGGGAGGAATCCAGGGCAAGCTGGGAAAGATGCTTTATTGCAGTGGGAATTCAGGTGAAATGACATTAATTCAAAATGAGTGTGAGGACATGGATGGGACTTCAGGAAATGAGCCTTTACAGTACTTACACAGACTGTGCAGGTGTTATGGGGCATGTAATTGTGAAGACCTGTGTGTGTACGGGGCAATTTCCAGTGAGAGGAGATATGTCATTGGTAGGATGCATTTAGTAATCCCTGAGGGAAAAAAAAAGAGTAGACAGGATGGGAAAAGACCAGCTTTTTGCCTTGAGAGTGTGGAAGTCAAAAAGTTACACTTGTTCTGCCTTTACAGCTTGCAGGATTGTGTGACAGGGCAAGAGACTTGTCTGCTGGCAATGATGGGGAAGAGATTGTGCAGTGGAAGGAGTGAGAAAGAATTAGGAACTCAGGAAGAGGTGGAGTATTTACTCATGGTTGAAAGGAAATGGTTTGGACTCCTGGTCTTACGGGTAAAATGTTGTTATGGGAAATTTAATCTAGAATAGTTGAGAAGGGAGGATGCAAAAAGCTGACAGGGCCAGGGGTCCAAAGAGGAGTTAGGATGAAAAAGCAAATGAGGGAAGCAGCAGGGGCAAGGCAAGATCCAAGGAGGATGAGGAGAACAGTGTAAAGAGGGAGAAGTTCAGGCTCCTCTTAAGTGCATTTTTTGCTCTGCTTCCTCTCCCCTAAGAAACTCTACCTGGGGTATTCTGAAAGACTATGTTGTTTTCTTTTGGATCCTGTGTCATTCATGTAGAACAGGGCTGATACCCTCCCAGGTGTGTTCCTGCCCCAGTGCTTGTCATCAGCAGTTCCTCACCAGTGTCTCTGACCTGGTGCGAGTTGCCCACAGGCCACAGTCACCTTGGAGGTGTCCTTCCTCTGACATCAAGCACCTTCTCCCAAGTGTGCATCTCCATCTGTGTCCCCAATGTCTTCCACATGTCTTGGCCAGGTAGTTTCCTTAATTTTCTCCTGCTCCCCTACTGCTCCTTCTTAAATATGTTTGAGCAGTGGTACCACGTCTTCCCCTGGCTGGCTGCAGTTCTGGTTTTGTCTATTTGTGAGCTAGCTAGACACAGCTGTTAGGGCACAGGGCCATTCCTGGCCCACCAAAAGCTCCTGCTCCCTAAGCCCTGACAGTCCTGATCAACACAGTCCCGCAGTCTCTGTTGCAGCTGCCATCACCAGCTGTCGTACAGCACACAGCTTCCAGGTTTCCTCCAAACTCCAGGACTGGCACTAGGAAATCCCGTGTCACTGCTTGCCCTCTTGCTGCCATCTGCTCTCCCTGCCAGTTTCTCCGCCACTGCAAGTCAAGCTGTTCCCAGCAGGAGAGACCAAGGTCAAAGAGCACCAGCCAACCGCTCCTCTGCACATTCTGTCCGTGCCCCCTTTCCTCCCTGGCCCTGCGAGGAGCCTCCCAGGTGAGTGAAGAGAGAGCAGCTGGTTGTGGGGCCTGGATGGTCAAGGTGCGAGCCCCATGCCACCTGTCTGCACTGATGGCACACACAGGCGAGGCTGGTGGAGCAGCCTGCTCCTTTCACAGGGTTGTTGCAAGTCCCAGGAGGATGAGTATGGGGTAGGGAAAAGGGGACAGGGCCTAAAGTGCCATAAATGAACAGAGATGTGGCCTCATCACAGTCCTGTTGTGCAGTAACTCACAGAGGGTAAAAAGAGCTGTCATTTCGTCATCTCTTGGACCAGAGGGGCAGAGGGTTCTCTGGAGCTGGGTGTGATGGATGGGCCTGACTCCTTGAACAAACTAGTGGTAGTTTGGACCAGGCTCCAAAGGCCTGAAAGACCTAGGCCATTACTGGGCCAAGAACTTATCTAGCTCCAACATGTTCTCCAAAAGCCCACGTAGGAACAGGGTGACATGGTGAGCATTGATGCATATGAGCTTGGAAACTGGAACACTGACCATGTGATTAACACAAGAATAGCAGGTGGCTCTTCCAGGACTCATTTGTCAAGGAACAAAGGAAGTTGTGTGTACAAGGAGTCTCATGCTTACCTTCTCCATCGCATGTAATTTGACTGCAAGCCAGCTACTTTATTCCATACATATGACAGCTTAAGTGGGACTTCTTTGAGTCCCCCAGCCATGCATCTGGCTGCATGGTGGTGATCTCCCCTTCATCTGGGTCACCTCTCAGGGTTGCTCCTTGAGGCTGAAAGACCCCTTACCAACTGCAGATGTCTGGTAAGTGACCAATATCATGCATAACCTTGTATTATAGTACACTAAGATTTTGTATTGTTAACTTTGAATCATTACTACATCCTTTGTGCAGTAAGTAATAGAGTGAACATTGCCATCTGTTAAGTCTTACTTTTACAGTTTCTTCCTTCAATAAAACCACTGTTGCTGCTACCTTTGGCAGTGGTTCTAAGTGGTCAGAATCTTCTCTATGGTAGAGGAACAATGGGCTCTGGTCTGTCATTCTTTGTGATAGGATGTTCTCTGAGGCAAGGAGCTGAGCAGGGATAGTGGGCTGCAGAACACCCATCCTGATGCTCTTCCACTCCTCAACAGGACACAGGGAGAAAATGAGGTAAAAAAGCTCATGTTGAGATAAGGACTGGGGGATCACTTACCAGTTGCCATCATGGGCAAAATGGACTTGACTTGGGGAAATTGACCTATTGCCAATTATAAAATAGACTTGGATAGTGAGAAACAAAGCCAATAATTAAAACACCACCTTCCCCCCCACCCTCCCTCTTTCCCACGTTCATCATCCCTCCCAAATCTTCCACCTCCAGTCCCTGATCAGCCCAGTGGGAAGGAGGAATGAGTTTTGAGGTCAGCTCATAACTGCTTCTCTCTGCCACTCTTTCCTCCTCATGCTGTTTGCCATCCCAGCACGGTCCCCCTTCCACAGGCCATGGTTCCTTCAGGGTACATCCACCAGCTTTGCTGCTGTCCTCTCACACAGCTGCAGGGAGGAGCCCGTGCTCTGGTGCCCACAGCACCTCCTCCCCCGCCTGCCTCACTGACCTTGGTGCTCGCACTGTTTCTCACTTTGTGCCTTTTTTTTTTTATGAAGACGCCTCTGATCACCTGACATTTTTGCCCTTTCTTAAGTGTTCTTTCTCCGAGGTGCCACCAGTTTGGCTGAGGAGCTCACGAGTGTCCCGCAGCTGACTGGAACCATTGTGACCTGCACAGAGGCGTCCTTGGCCTCCGCCTGCAGACCTCCGCACAGATCCTGCTGCCAGCGCCAGGACATACCCGGTACGGAGGGGGAGATACAGCCTGAAGAGTGAGTGCTGTTATAACTTATATGGGACAGGAGGGACAGTGGGGGAGGAACAGCAAGAAATTATGTTGGGGGAGAGGAGTGAGCAGCCACCCATAAGCGAAAGACCAGGCTGGTCAACACGGGGGATTTACAGTCTTCTCTGGAGAAAGTTGTTTTTTTCTCCCCTCGAGCTTCACACAAGCCTTTCACAGCCTTTTCTCCGTGGCATCTCATCCACTAAAATCATCTCCCTGCCTTTCATGTGTTTTTCCCCCTGTCAGTTCTCTGCTGGGTCTCGTCCCATCCGTCTGTCCGTTCATTTCCCACCCCACCACTCCCCTCCACTGCTGATTTGAACACCTAGAAAGGTAAAAAGGCAGAAACACACGATAACCCTAGCAGTTTAGAAAAAATGGAGGTGGAAGGAAGAGGAGGAGGGGGGAATTAATTACAAAATGGGAAGAACACCACTAAGACCTCACTCTGTGTTAACGTTTTAAGAGTGAAATCATAGAGCCCCAAAGAACTGTTTCCCCATGGGATAAGAATATTACAGATTAATTTAAACACTGAAAAATGCACTTTTTTCTCTTCGGCTGCTCCGTTTGTACTGGCTGTGGCAGGTTACTGAGCACGCTGAGCGGCAGAGTGCACTAAGGTGTACAAGAAGCAATTAGCTTGACATTGGATAATAGCCAAAAGAAATTTAATGAATCTGTAACCATTTCTCTGCTTTTCTTTCTTCCACCCTGCCCTCTCCATCCCTCCCCCCACACGGTAGGGACATTTGTATCATATCTCCTAAGGCGTACTTAGTCACTTGTTCATGATGAGGAAAACTTGTCCCTGTAGGAAATGTTAGGAGTTTCACCATCAGAATCAATCTCACTAAATGTCATGTAAGATTTTATTCCATGTATACATTGTCATAGCTTAACACCCACACAGTAAAAATTATTCTGAGTAGCTCGCAGGCTGAATGTTATCATGTATGCCATGATAAGCAAGTATCATAATTCATGTACAGACAATTCAGAAAATGTTCAGATATACATGTGTAAGTATTAGCAAAATGGAAGGAAAAGGAGATATTAAGCATAAGGTGGTTTAATTATAAATTTTTTATTTATAGAGTTAATAATTCCTGTCTCCTCCATTATGTAGAATATGGAGAAGTAAGAGGAACTTTGGAAAAAATATAGGAGAATAAAACAGGTTGTAGGTTTTTGTTTGTGGCTTGATGTTGTATGAGTACCTTGGAGATTGTGGATTTTTTTTTCCCTTGAGGGATTTGTGTTTTATTTTTCATGACAAGAAAAACAGTCTGTGGAACAAAATGATGGTATGTGTAGCAGCATTTAAATCACCTAGCTGAGGTCTGCTGCTAGAATGTTACATCAGCTTTTGGTTTTAAACGTGTTTGGAGGGAAAGAAAATAGTATGGTAAACAATAAATTTACTTGCCTTCAGACTGGGTTGTGAAATACCTCAGAGAATGGGTGCATACAGCTGATGAAGGTGAAAAGACACATTGAACTATTTGTCTAAGCACAACAGGTGAATTTATAAGACTTGACAGTTTTAGATGTTTATTAGGATTTAGCTGTGTTCTAGGCAAGAGTAATGAAAGTCAGAAGTGATTGCAGCATGCTGGAAATTGGCATCTGGAGGTACCAGGAGGAGACTGAGTTGTCTCCACTAGTGCAACAAACAATCCTGACAGGCAGCAAGCTGAGCCATGAAGTTGCATCGTCCCTTTAGCTACTGGGGATCATATTTATTTGATGACTTTTGACTGCTGGAGATGAACAGATTCCAGAATGTTTTGTCTAAAGCGGTGAAATATTCCTTTACGACATCCATGTCCTAAAAAAAAAAACCACCTCCATTTTTTTGTAAAATGCAGTAGTTATTACAGTTTTTTTGTTTACTTACTTTTAAGAAAAAAAGCTGTCAGAAATACATTTGCTCTGTGAACATACCACAGATGCAAGTAATAAATGAGGTCTTTCATCCCAGTCTGTATCATTTCTCTATTTTTACTCTTTGTGCTAAGTACTGTTTAAAAACCATAATTAGCGAGATAGAAAGTGTGAGGTCCTTTAAGGTGGTTACCTGGTACTGTCTTCAGCCTGCTTCTCTGGGGAGCACTATTTTGATTATTTGTCTTCTGTTTCAGTCACTCCATGGCTGAGGCACCTCCACTATCAGAGGAATTGTGCAGCAGCAAACCTAAGCAGAGCCAGTCCCTTCCTCTGGTAAGTACAATTTAAAATTCTGGAGAACCTCCTTTCTGTCTTGCTATCTGCTCTGAACCGAACATATGCCTTTCAGAACTGCAGGTTTTCAGGAGGTCAGTCTGGCAGATCTCTTCTGCCTATTGCATGACAACTAGAAGATGCACATGATTTTATTATCATCTCTTTAGATTTTAGCTAAAGGATCCCTCACTTCCAGGTACAGCAGAAAGGCCCCGGGTTTGGGAGGAAAGACTCATGAGGATTTATTTTCTTTTACTGGGAGAGGGCAGGATTTGCTCCTCTAGGCTTCTGTCACAGAATGGGCCACTCCTCTGTCATCATGTTTATCAGTTTTCTAGGAAACAAGTTACAAGAGATGAGACCTATTTCTTCACTTCTCTCCTGCTTCTCTCAAAGCCCTTTGGCAGTGGTGAAATGATCTTCTCTGGGACAGGGTGTGGACAACAATCCCAAAGTGCAGGGAAACCTGGGAGAGACCACTGCACTAGCTTTCAGAAGCAATGAGAGAGGCTGGGCAGCACCCGGGGAAGGGTTGGAGGAACTCCAAAAAAGCCTCAGTATTTCTGGTGGTGTTTGGGGTTGAAGTCTGAGGCACTAGAGCTGCATATATTGCATAAAAAGTTTTAACTAAGTATCTCCACAGGATGGATAAGAAGTAACTAATATCCATCCTGAACAGTTGCCACCACTACTTCTGTGTGACAGGGGAGAGGTGATGGGTAGCATTAGTAGGACAGACTCAAAGAGCCCATAGTCCTCCCTGGGTGCTTTGTTATCAGTGCGAGTGATGCACTTTTTCCTATTAAACCTACAAATTATACATTCTGTTTATACACAAAATCTTTCTCAGAGCTAAGGACTGACTGAGATTTAAAAGACAGGCAGTTTACTTTTAGTCCATCAGTTGAAGTCTTCAGGAAGAAATCTGTGAGTCTGCAGGGAATAGCCTAGCTGTTATGGTCACAGCTCTGACACAGGCTTTGGGTGCCTGTCAGCCGGTGTGCCCAGGCCCCTCCTGCCGCCCGCGGCCGCTCGCTTTTGGAGCCTTGCAAAGAAATTCAGCAAGGACAACAGTGTCACCTGCTGGTGAGCGAAATGACTGCTTGCTGTTGCCTTCATTTCCACTGCATATGGCCGATTGCTTCTGTGTGTTCTGTGCCAGCACCACTTCTCATCTTTACAATAAAGGTGACAATCTGGTGGTGTCAGTAACAGAATCAGAGAGGACAGCATTTCTTTCAATTTCTGTATTACTCAGACACTAGAGATTTTCTGATATTTGCTTAAGGAATTATAGAATGGATTTGGTGATACAGCTTTTGTTTATGTTACTTATATTATTTTAATACGGTTTTAAAATTGAGGGAGATACTGACTCACATTTTCTTCTGCATTTGCTGTTGCTTGAGAATACATAAACACCTGGTATGGATATCACTGGCTCACCTTAAAACCTTCACTTAAATGTCTGTGGATCACACACTTCTGTATATGTCTTAACACATATGTATGTATTTCACAAGGGTGGCCAAATGGGTGATCAGGCGGCAAAAACTTCCAAGAAAAAGAATACTGCCCGGAAATCATCTATGGGACGAAATGTCCCTCCTGCAAAGGACAGCTCAGTAGGACAAAACCAACTGGTATGACTTCTCCAGTACTTTTTTATTATCAAAATACTTATCACTGCCTTCAATTTCTTCCATAATTACAAAAATAAAGAGATGTAGTCAATAGGGAAGTATCAATAATAGCAACTGTGAAATGAATCCACTTTGGAGTGCAATGATTTAGCGGGCTAAGAGCACTGCTGAGCTCAAATTATACAGTAAGTACGGAAATAGAAGAGTACTCTTAGAGGGAGGACTGTCTCAATAACTTATTATTTGTTTCCAACTAGAAACTGCATAATTTATGATCACGGATAATGATGCTGAAGCATAATTTCTGCAGTGAAAAGCTACCCGAGACTCAAAAGCAGAAATTTCTTAATATTTTCAGTGCATGAGATTGCCTTATAGGTTTTCAGGAGGATGCAACTGAAGATGCACAGCATCAACCACCTCATTAATACGTGAACTCAAGTGCACAGATATTTCTAAATCACTGTATCAACAGATTGGACAGAACTACCACTGCTTTCCCCATGAGAAATAATGAAGGCACTCACTTGTTTGTGAAAAATCACTGTGAACTCTGGAAGGAGTAACACCCTCCAGGGAAGCTGAAGGGTGGCATGTCACCTCCATTTACCTAGGAGGTGAAAAGATAAATTTGTATGAACGTTTGTGTCTTTGCATAATGAATGGCAAGTGTATGTTCAGTGTCCCCAGTCATGTTTATTTTCATTGACTTTAGACATGACTGTCAACATACATGGGCTACGTGGAATGGCAATACACAAAACTGATGTTTTAACCTCCAGAACTATTTGGCAGTTTCATCTAGTTGCAAACACGAATTTCATAAAATAGGCATGAAAATGCTCCCTCCTGTTTCTCAAAAACTGTGCTTACATCAGCTTCTTTATTATGGTCTGTGCTTTTTTTATACTTCTCACTTGTGCAAATGTTTCCTTCCTGCAATAGTTGATCCTCCAGACAATTTTCTTGCCCTGAGGATGTTTGGACAAAGGTGGTTTCTAGGCATCTGAGGGAACAGTGAAAATAAAGGTGAATCCAGTTAGAGATGTTTATAATCATAGTGCGTGTTTTTACATTATGAATAAAGTTGAAGACAAAAAATACATGACTCTGCCTCCCACAAGACAACTTTCAAACTCCATGCCACTATAGCAGAGTCATGTATTCAGACTCATGGTTGTTCCCTCTTCTGTCATGATGAACAGTTGGTCAAAGGAATACTCAATTAACAGTTACACAAGCAAACATTTCAAACAATATGATCCTAATTTAGGTTGAGTTTTGCTTTATTTTCCTACCTATGTTGCTTTAATTTATCAAGAATATTAATTTTAATGTAATTTGAAAGCCAGTGAGGACATTTGGCAGCTAATAAATATTTGTTCTGATTGCACTAATTATAAACCTTCTGTTGTTTGTTAATTTATAGGTGCAAGACGAGAAGCAATTCAAAAACTTAATGTTCCAAAGTCCAAGACCTCAGGTGGCTGACTTCAATCCTGGAATTAGAGAGGAGAAAAAGAAAAAGCATGTGTTGGGGCCGAAACAATTTTTTTCTAAGTCGAAGTAAGATGTGCTAATTTATTATATATTTTACTTTAAAAAATGGCTGGTATGTTCTTTACTGAATAGAGATGAAAATAAAATTATTAATATTTTGCAGAGAGATTTCTTATTACACATGAAAGCTGTGCTGGGAAAACAAGCTTTTTCTGTGTGACTTAACAGTATTTTGATTTACTTCTTTGGCACACTTTCATTTTTAAGAACAGTGGCTGTTGCAATTAAGATATAATGCCAGTATTTCACTATGCTGTGAGGTTGTTAAAGAGGAAATATTTGTTCCTGGGTGTTTTCCACACTTGTTTGGTTTAGTCTTCAAACATCTTCAAGCATTTTCTGAGAACCACTTTTTCTTTTCTTTTGCAGAGCTACAAAGAAGTATGACAAACATGGCAGGCTGCTTTCTAATGACACCGATTTGTGTGATTGCCTAGATGTGAACTGCCAGGGTTGCTTCTATCCTTGCCCCAAATGCAGTTCCAGGAAATGTGGACCAGAATGTCGCTGCAATAGGAAATGGGTTTATGATGCAATTGAGACTGAAACTGGGGATGTGATTAGCAAGTTTCCATTTCCTGATAATTATCACAACTGAGCAGAGGTTCTTCTTTCTTCACACTTTATTAAAGTAAATCTTGGCTTTATGATAGTCTTTAGTGAAGTGCCTGGCAGCAGTTCTTGTGCTTCTTTATTGCTGCCTACCTAGCATATTTTAACCTTCCCCCTTAAGTAAAAGTATGTATTTCATTCTTCCTCATCCTTTCAAGCTTTAATGAGGCATCTAGTCAGTCCCCTCTAAATCTTGACTTTCTAAAACTAAACTGCTGAGTGAAGACAATTTTTTAACCCTAGGAAGCCGAACCACGTTACTTGTAATGAGTTTTATTCTTGTAGATTTCTCTGCTTGTTCATTTACTCAGATGTGTGACACAGCTCACTCTTTTCTGAATGCTTGTCCAAGTGTTGCTTCCTTATGATGCATTCAGGTCTTGTATAGATGAGGCAGGAGTCATCTGAGATAACACTGTTCTTTAAAATTACATCATCACTTTCCATGTCCCTCTGTATATAAAGCAAAGGAGAGCAGAAACTACTCTGCAATTCTTTCTTTCTGCCCAGACTACAATACTGACATCAAAATGTTTCATCAGCATTTTTTTTTTTTTTTTACAGCTTATGGCACACTCAACCTTGATCAGTCATTAATTATATAGCTAGAGGTAAATGCATTGGTTATTTTTGCCTGTGGACAGGAAAATCTCTTCCAGCAGTTACCTTCCTCTTCATGCAAGACATGACAGATTTCAAATACTATAACTTACACCCAGTCTTCTTATGAGGTACGTGTTCTCATTCATGATGAACACTCACACTCTTTCTGAAGAGTGAGGGTCTCTCTAGATCTTCAAGGGGGGAAGGTTGCAGATTGCTGCAGATGATCTTCAGGAGTGTACTGCTAGTGGGGGAATCATTCCCTGGGCCCAGCACTTGTTTTTGAGCAGACTCTCTTGCTTTGAATGTGGCACCACTTTTCTCCTCTACAAGAGGCCGTTCTCTGGGGACAAAGACTTCCCGCTCCAAAGCAGTCTCAGAGAAGAAAATTCCTGGAATAGATCCCAAGAATGCCTTAACAGCACAATCTTCTGACCTGATACCTCAGAAAGATTTGTTGCTCCTCTCAACCACTGACATCTCAGCACTTCAGCCTGTAGCATAAAACAAGCCAGTACCAAAAAACTTAATAGAAATATTTGCTATGGTGGTTCAAACACTCCCTGTTTGGCCACCAGCTCTGGTGCTGTTCTCTCACATACCTCACTGGTCCCAATCAGGAGATCAGATAGTCCACATCATCTTTGAGCTATATTTCTTAAGGTAGATGGAAATCCTGTCAATGTAGTCAGGGATTGGTTTCTTATTCCAGGTGTGCCACAAACTCATTCTGGACTTGATTGAGTAAGTAGCTCTTCAAGAAAATAAAGTTGATTTACATGGACAGGAAGATGGCAGTCTTCTTTTGAAATAACCTCAAGATGTGAAATGGACATGTTTGGATAAGCACCTCCTTCCACTTAAACTATTTGTGTTTTTGCCAAGTAGATTCCTGTAGTAATTTTTTTAGAAATGGGATTAAAAGCAGATTGGTTTAAATCTTTAGAGTCCTATTACTGAATTCATTGGTGTTACTTTGTGGTTTTTAACATGGACTATGCCTCTGTCACAATCACAGCTAAATGCAAAGTATAAGAGAACTATACTACAAACACACTTGGTGTGACCTTGAAAATATAGCATAAGGATAACGAAATAAGAGGATGTTGCAGAGGCAGTTCTGCTCTGGTTTGAGATTTACTCTATTGTTGCAATGATCCTGCTAACTTTTCCCTCAATTCCAAATGAGCATCTGACAGTGCAAGGATATAATGTCTGTTAGGGCAGTTGTACATGGGAAAAAACAACAAAAACAACAAAATCTACCAGTGCCATAAAAATGTTTATAGTGATTGTGAAACTTAGTAGTAGATACATGTATATCTAACAAGTGGGCAAAATTATGCTGACTCTTTTCTTCCTTAGTGTTTGCAAATCCTTCACGCAAAGTTCCACAATGAAAAATTAGAACTATTTATATAAATATTCTTATTTAAAGGCTCCATGATTACTAATATACAGTTACATATATAACATAGCACCTCTGAAACACAGACTAGGAATACAATAGGTTATAGCACTGTAAAACAACAGGCAGAAAATGGAGATTTTTTTCCCAAAGTAAGCACCCAAATTTTGTATTAAAAGTGCTATGGGATTCCTGTCCACATGGAGGCTTAACACTAAGCAGCTGCAGTAAACTGCAGTGAACTGGTATTCAGTTTACCTACAGTTTTAAAAATTATAAAGGACAGTCTGCCCTAGAAGTCAGATCTGTGGTTCCAAAAAGTCTAGATATCTCAGTCCGAACCTGAGACCACTAAACTGTCCCTCCTGTCTTAAAATGAACTTCTGCATATGGTGAGGTGCCATTCAATCCCACTGCATCATTTAGAGAAAAGTAAGTCCATACTGTTATTGAATTTAAACTTGTATGTACCAGCATCTGTCAAGGTAAGAACTCTACAATTAGTATTTGCCAGCCTCTGTGATTCAAACAAACACAGAAGGGCATTAATAAAAAAAAAAAAAAAAAAAAAAAAATATACACTTTGAACACTCTTCCAGACAATTTTCATGATCTATTTAAGACCTCCTATATGAACACAACTGAACATTATATACATCCACACCAGAGTAGAATACAGATTTGACTCACGTCAGTGGGAAAACCAGAAGAGTTTGACTAAAGAAATACAAACTGATACTTTCTGGATAAATATTTAAATATACCTTGGATAAATGTTTGCACCAAAAGCATTACAGTTGCTGCAGCTCTGTTGAGTTTCTTAACTAGTGATAGCAGTATTAATTGTAGCTTCTCCTTTGACACACTGTTCATGATCTTAAGGCATTTTAAAACAAATTATGCATGTTTCAGTGGACTACTTTGTTTGATCCCATTCTATTTGGAAAAGAGATATATGAAGTCTGAGCTAACTGCAACTTTGAACATTAGTCAGAACATGATACTTGCGTTTCATTAACCCTAACTTGTAATCATGGCATGGACCATTAGAAGATTTCCTGTCCTATCATTTGTAGAGGGCAGTGCACCTCTTTTCCATTGACCTGGCCCTGAAAATACTGACCTACTTCCACCTCCACTCAGGAGCAAATGTATGAATGCTGGTCCTTACAAGATCATATCTGTTTGCGTTATAATCAAATAAATGAAGGCCTATTGTCCACAGATGAATCTCCTGTATACTCACAGATGCCTTTGATTAAAGTAGCAGACTATGCAGCCTTGATTTCCATTGTGTCACCCAAATAATCTGACTCCCTTCACATGACTAGATGTACTAGTGACTGTTCATATGTAAGTACAAAAATAGCAAACAGTAAACCAGCATACAGAGCCAATAAACTAAGATGCCCCTGCCCTTATTCATAGTCCCCTGCCCTTACGCTTTCCAAGCAGAATCTGAGTAGTCCTATAGATTTTAATGAGATTACTCATTCAGTGGAACGCAAATAATGACAGAAAGAATGGCAGATTGTTTCAGAATGATAGCAGTCACAGACAGCAAGAGAGTTGTATTTTTTTCTGATAGATGTAATTTCACTGAAACACTTAGAACACTCTTTACAAAAAAAGAAATATTTTTTCAACAAGACTTCTAAAGTTGAGCCATTTAATACTAGGCAAAAGGCACAATTCAAACCCTGCCACACAGATTTATAGTTTGCTAACTTAAATTGTTTAAGCTACTTGCATGTAGGAAGTGAAAATTTATGTCAAACATTATTGGTTTATTTTCATTGAGTTGTAGGACAATCATTTAGTCAATAGTGTCAGGATGTTGTACAAATCAGATCTTGAGTGAGTTCAACAAGTTCTTTTTTGTGTACCTTCAGAAGGAAGGAAAAATAACAGAGATGAAGATGACACAAGAAGGAAAGGCTTGAGTGTAGACAGAATGGCATCGCAAGTAAGAGGCTACAGAATAAAAAGTAAATCAAAAGAAGCCAAGAAAAAAGAGAAAATAATACACTCAGAGAAAACAGGTCCTTGTAGGATCCTGAGAGCCTGTAGTCTTTCATGCTAGATCAGCTTTGCTCACTTGCTACACATTTACTACCCATTTTTCATAACAGACTTCTCTTTGTGCTTTAAAATCTCTAATGACAGTCCTCAACTTCCTCATGAAATTTATTACAGTGCATAACTATCCTTGTGTAGAAAGTATTCTGTAATTCATAACTTTACATCCTTTTCATGCTCTATATAATAATTTTCACCTGATAACCATATAAGTATTTTAAAAAGCAGAGCCTAAATGAAGTCTAGCTGAAGGGCTGGGTGATGAGAAAAGTAAAACAAACCATAATCGAATAACACAAAGTCTTGTTTTGTCTTTATGAAAGAACAGAATATATAGTTCAATTTCTGGAAATGCAAAGTAAGGAACATCGAGCTTTTCAAGACTATTGTAAGGCAGTAAGACCCCTTTCATTAGCAGCTAAATGCTCTGAAGTCTGTCACTGATGCCCAAGATTTTGCCGTAGGATGTGCAAATCCAAAATCCCAGACAACATCCATTTGCATGTCTAAGTGGCATATTTTGAGTCAAAATATGGGTAAAAATTTGACTCAAAATACGTTTTAACTAGATGAATATTTAACAAAACTGATAAAGTACATTAACTTGTGTAGCTCAGTGAAAAAATCTCTTCACATTGGAAAAATGCATCATGGATGCAAGTACAAAACAATAATAAATGAATGGATATATGAGAAATCAAAACTTTTTATAATTATTTTTTTCAGGGACAGAAAAGGTATTAGGAAAAAATGTGTTTAATTGTGCACTTGGCAGCACTTTGCAGGTTAATTTCATTATTAATTATTTCCAATCAGTTGCTCTCTTTCCTGTCTTCAGTGAAGCTTTGAACACAGAATCATACTGGTAGGAAGAAGCCTCCAGAGGTCTCAAGACAAACCTCTGTGTGAAGCGGGTCCAGCTGGAGCTGGTTGCTCAGGATCCTATCCAGCCGAGTTTTTAATGTTCATTGTTTTGACTTTTCATTTTGAATATTCATTTGATCCAGCAAAGCGTGAAAGAAAACACTTCAGGTCTATATGATTATAAAACCAGAGAATTGGCAGCAAACCTGAGTGGTGCATCCAATACCTGTGTCAGCTGGGACTTTTTAAAATAAGTAAGCAATTGTCTAGACTTCCAGTCTCCCTTTCTCATTTTGACCGAGTGAACTTTATAAAATGCTGGTCTCAGGGGAGATTTCCTAGAACAAGAAGTTACATTATTTCAGTGTGGAATTAAACAATCATTCTTCTTTCCCAGCCAAATAAATTTCACGCAAGAATATTGTCTTTTCATGTTTTATAGTAGTACAGAAAACCAGATTAAATAGTTGAATGTAATTATATTTCACACCAAAACAATAGCTTGAAACATGTATCTGTCTTTCATAACAGTGACTGTGGGTCCAACTTCTGGTAGGAGGTATAGTACAAATGTTGTTAAAGTCTCAGCTAGGAACTCTCTGCTTTAAAATAACTGTTGAAGTATGGCCTGGTTTGGCACTCTTTTTTCATTAAGTTGGTTCTTAAGGCGGAGTCTATTTAAACAACATTATCTTTTCAAATGTCCTGTCTGAAACCCTGACCCTTTTGAAGTTAATGACTAAGTTCCCCTCATGTCAAAACAGGCAAGATTTCAGCATACGTGTTTGTAAAACATTTCTTTACAGTACCTCCAAAATTTCCAGCCTTTTACCACTTGCCTTTTGAGCCTATCATAATTTATTACATTACCACACACCTAACCCTTTGGGCCACATCTTCTAAGACTTTACAGCCACATTCAGAAGCCTCCTGCAGTTTTTAAAAATTTTTAGTTGGCTTCCTAGGAAAAGAAGATTTCCACCATCGCTCTGCCTGCTCCTCCGTTTGCTTGTCCCATTGTCTTTCAGCACAGTTTTTCAATTTCAGCCGAATCTAAGGGAGACTATAGGTCTCATAGACATTACATCCGTTCAAGGTAATGAATGAACAATTAATTCACATTAGGCGGGGTGGGACGGGGCGAATTTGGGGTTGTTACCCGGGGGGCAGGTTACGTGGGGCAGACGGGAGCACAGCCTGAGGCTGCTGCTGGCCCCACGGATGGAACCATTGTCTGTAACGCGGCAGACGGGGCAACTTTATCACAGACTCGCGGTCTGCCAACGAGCCGGGGCCGGCTGCGCGCTACCACGCGGGAACAAAAGGGCTCTGTGGGGGGCTGGAAGGGCTGAGGAGTTTCACGCAAAACCCTCGCTCCAGCGGTGGGAGTCCAGTATGAGCGTTGCCGGCACTTGACAGAGCGGGTAAATACCGCCCCCCACCCCCCCCCCCCCCCGCGCTTTTAAATCCGAGGATTTCATCCACAAAGCTTGTCAACGGCTGCGTGGGGTGAGGAGGCGGCTGCACACTCGTGAAGTTGGCTCCACCACAGGCGTCCGGAGCGTCCCGTCTCCCACTTCCTCAGGCCGCAGGGGTGTCCCGTCCCCCCCCCCCCCCTCAGGCCTCAGGGGTGTCGTCCCCCCCCCCCCCCCCTCAGGCCGCAGGGCTGTCCCGTCCCCCCCTCCCGCCTCAGGCCGCAGGGGTGTCCCGTCCCCCCCCCCCCTCAGGCCTCAGGGGTGTCCCGTCCCCCCCCCCCTCAGGCCTCAGGGGTGTCCCGTCCCCCCCCCCCCCTCCTCAGCTCGCGGCGTCCTGGCCGCCAGCCTGTCCAGCGCGGATCGGCGGCGCTTGGCCTCGCCGGGCTGCCGTCGAGGGGCGGGGCCGCAGCGGCAGCCATGGCGGTGCCGGTCGTCCCGGAGACTGACAGGTACCGGCTGCTTCGGCGGCAATGCCGCTTCCGCCTTTCCGCCGCCGCCGGGCGCGGGCCGGGACTCGCCGTCTTGCCCGGTGCGCGGCGGGACCCGGGTCCCCCCTGACCGCCTCCTCTTCCTTTCGCTCAGCATCCGCAGGGCTGTGTCGCTGCTCAACGCCGTGGACTCGGGCCGGTTCCCGCGGCTCCTCTCCCGCCTTCTCCAGAAGCTGCACCTGAAGGTTGGCCGGGAGCGGGGTGGGGGGGAACCCGCCGGGGCCGCCGTGGGCTTGGCGGCGGTGCGCGGCGTGGCGGCAGCGGGGGCTTCGCTGGGGCGGGGCGGGCAGAGCCGGTGCCCAGCTGGGTCCCGCCGGCGCTTTTGGCCGCGGTGCTGCAGCACCAGGCGGGCCTGGGCCAGCGACAGGCGGTGCCGGTGTCCCCGGGGCACCGCGGGCTGCCGAGGCCCGGCGGCGGGGCGGGCGGCCCAGCCGGGAGCAGCCGCCGCCCTCCTGCTGCCTCCAGGTCGGCTGTGGGGGAGGACAGGAGCAGCTCTCTGGGCTGCGAAGGGACAGTCGCTTCCATTCCGGCTTGTCTGTCTGTTTTTAGAGTATTTTTGATTTCGGTGGAGTGAGGTAAGAGTCAGTAACGAGCCGTGGAAGGTGAGTGGTGGGAGGACCAGCAGTGCTCCGGCAGTGCTCTCCGAGGAGATGCAACTTCTTGGATTTTTCCACAAACTCCACTCTTGCCCCCACTAGGGAGATACTAAATGCATTTTTTTTTTTTTTTTGGCATTTCTGTATATCCATCAACTAAAGCCTTCTGTGGAATTTAGGTTAAAAATAAAGTCCATAACTTTTAGTTAGTATTTTGTCGTCTTTACAGAGGCTTGTTTTTTAATTGTGGAATAAATAAAAAAATAAATGAACAAAATCAGTTTCATTGCACAGTGCCATGAAGTCAAATGGAGACCAAGTCTAACCTTGGCACTAAATATTGTAGGGGAAATGCTAAGATAAATGTTAAACCAGAAACTATTTTGCTGAATTTCTTTAAGTATCAGTTTGTGTTTATTTCCTTGTTTTTTGTTTAGAAAAAATTTAAAAAGAAATACAGAATTTTGTTTTCTATGCACATATATATACACAAAATAAACATTAAAATATTACAGGTTAGGAGCAGGACATATAGAAAATACAGATGTATTAAAGGTCATAATTCTGAGACTGCAAGGATTGTTTTGATATTTCATTCAATTGCTGTTTTTTTCCTACCAAAATTACTAGCTTGGATGCTGATCTTATTGCAAAGGGTTTTCTCAATCGTTTGCATGGATGTTAACTCATTCATAACTGGAAAGTGTCACCAACCTTTTTTTTTGGTTTTGTGGGTTTTTTTTTTACTACTCAGTAGCAGTTCAGTAGCTCTTCACAGTTTTAATCAGCGTTTACATTGGTTGGAGTGATCTTTTAAATTTAGCTTTCAGTCAATCTCATGAATTGTTCAGTTGGCCTTCTCAAAGTATCTGACTGCAGGGCTTGTTAAATTGCTGGAAACTTTAAACAAACTTACTCGCCTTCACAAAACAGATACCGAGAGCTCTGCATTTCCTCCTAACAGCTAATGATTCAAATAATGTTTCCATTTTGACACTCTTATTACAAACATTGTGATCACTGAAGTTTTTGTGTAATTGCCTCATTTCGTTTATGCTGACAACTGAATTGCCTTTTTCTGTAGCTGTGCAGTTTTGGAATACTAAGTGGTCTAAATGCGGTGTTTTGATGTCGGTAGCATAGATTTGTTAGTAATTAAGTTTTAAAAGATGGCAATATCTCCATTTAAATTACTGTTTAATTTGCTGTAGTATAATAAATGTAACTGCTGTATTTTAAAAGTACAGAACATTCTCAGTAATCTTCAGTAATACAGTAGGCTATAGATTCAAATCTGACTTTCAAAATAAGCATACATTAGGCCTTTATTTCCTTTGTAACAGCATGGCTGGTTTTCAGAAGAGTATCCAGAGTAGAAGTAACATACGTAACTAACTTGACTGCAGTTTTGCCTTCTGTTTTCTTTTGGGTCTGATTCAAGTAATGCCCTTCATACTTATTTTTATCAATAAAAAGTTGTCAGAGATGATCTGACTGTTTAAAGAAAAATGTTTCTTTGCTGTCTCAGGTGCAAAGCGGAAGCAGTTTTTTGTGATGTGTTTCAAGTAGTCCTGGTAACTTCTCAAGTGATACTGTTGGCTTTTAATTTTTATTTTCAGTGAGAGGAATTGCATTGTATTTTTCTGTTGGAAAAAAAGCTTTACATTGTTATTTTTATTTAGAAACAGCTGGACAGCTACTGTGTTTGTAAAAACGGAGAGGAAGTTTTTGTTTTGACAAGTATGTTCTTGGTCAGTATGTGGGATGTCAGGACTAACCATTTTTGTGCTTCAGGCTGAAAGTAGCTTCAGTGAAGAGGAAGAAGGAAAACTTCAAATAGCTTTTTTGTTGGAAAAGCAGGATCTTCACCTAGTTCTTGAAACTATATCATTCATTTTGGAGCAGGTACTTTGTTTTTATCATTATGAATTGATAATACTTTTATCTGATTGTAGATTTTAAAAAAATAGAATCCAAGTTAAAAAGAATTAGTGAAAACATGTATCTGTACTATATTATGTATGTTTCGGCAGCATGATTTTACTGCTTTTGGTTTCATGACTTCCTGATTTGGATTGGACTCATTACATTTCTGGAGTGAGTTTTCAGCTAATGTAAATATAGGTGGTGGAAGCAAACTCTGCATTACTCCAAGAGAAGTGTTGATAATTATGAGATACAGTCTTTCCTCATTCATTGTAAGCAAGCCAGACATGCATTGTTTTGTTTTGTTTTGTTTTAATTCCTGTGAAGAAAATACTAGATTGCATTATTGAGCACTACCTAAGTTACGTGAAGTGTCAGTTATGGAAAACTTTAATGCACACAGAAGCCGCCTGTACTTATGTGAACAGGTGCACCTGATGTAGCTCTAGTATCTGAATGAGGAGGTGAGTGCATGGTGTAGAGCTAAATGTCTTGTAAAGAGAGAAGGTTTTCTGATTCTACAGTCTACCACTACTCAGAAGGGAACCCAATGTATTACCTCGTATAGATGGTAACTTTCTTATAAATTGTCACAGCAGCGATGTTATCTGTCCATTTCATTCAAGTGTAGTCTGTGCAGAGGGCATGGATACTGATGGTCTGTTGTGGAATTTGAATCTTGTCCTTTCTTATATGTCAGTTTGTGATTAGTTCACTTAGTTAACACGTTCCACAGCATTAGAAAGAAAACAAACAGTCCTCCCTGTGGAAAAAGTGAAATGAAACCTGATGTATCATCCAGACTGGAATTTTGAACTTTCATCTCAACCAAGCATCAAACGTACCTGTTACATTGCCTGGCCTTAATTTCATCAGACGGCTTCATTTTTATGAAAATTATTGAAGATGAACAGAAAAAGCAGTTCAGTCTCCTCTAGGATTTGCTTCTCTTGCATTTAAAAAAAAAAAACCCCAAACCCAATATATTAATATTTGCACAAACAAGAGTCCTAGGTGGCATACATGTTGTATGAGGACTCTTTTGTGTTCCCACTAATAGTTACCCTTCTTGGTGTAGCATCTTGTTTCATCAGAGCATAACTTTTTTAACAGCCCTTTGGTCTTTGGACACATGATAGATAGTACGACCGATGCAGGGCTTTTGCCACGTGTTGTTTTTAATTCCCTGCTGTTGTGCTGATGGAGTCCTGTTTTGTAAGTGGACTACCATACAATATAGAGTGTTTATCACAAAAATTGATGCTAATAGGGATGTTGTACCTAACTCATCTTTTTTGGAAAACTGTTACTGTCTTTTCAGAATATTACCTCATAGTTCAGGCTTGCTTAAACAGCGTGAATTTGGAAAGGTTGTCCTTTCTTCATGGTCACAATTGACTTCAAAGCCTGTTCTTTTTCAGTGGTAGCTGCTTTGGTATTATGTACGTTGAAAACACGTACATATACTCAGATCTAGCTTGTATGTGCATTTTTTCAGTTAGTCTATCTTGACGAGTAATTTAATACTGCATTTTGAGATACAATTGAGATAGTTACACTTTCCTACCTTCTCAGTCAGAGGGTTAAGATGAGCAGTCCTATGGTAGAGTTGCTAGTAAAAATCTTGTGTGAATGTGGTGGCCATCTGTGGTAGAATATATCTGACACAACTTGTAGAGCAGTATTGTACAACAGCAGTTATTTTTTTTTCTTTTAACAGGCAGTCTATCATAATTTGAAGCCTGCTTCATTACAGCAACAGCTGCAAAGCATTCACCTGGATCAAGACAAAGCTGAAGCATTTGCCAGTGTGTGGGCAGCCGCAGGTCAAGATACGATTGAAAAGTTCAGGCAGAGGGTTTTGACCCCTCAGAAGGTAATGTTTTTTTCTGAGAGAATAAAACTGTAGGTTTGTTTTAAAGCAAGGAGTTTGAACTAAGATACAAAGTTTGTGATAAGCCAAGGCACTGGAAAATAAAAAGGGTACTTAGTAGGTAGTAGATAAATGTGATTTGGGCATTGGAGTTCCGTTGTCTTAGAGATGTCACGTGTTAGCTGAGCTGCTGTAACTGCTGTAACCTGACTATATGTGCACTGTTAGCCATGTAAAGTAATGCAACCCACATACCATGTGGAGATGTTTGTGAACATGCTTTACAGTAAGGCAAGAGTGTAATGTGCTCATGAACACTTGTAGCGGTTTAGCTCATCAGTCTGTCTGTTCGCTCTGCTTAGTGAATGTATATCTGAGCTCCTGCCATCTTTAATTTTGTAAGCTTGTTGGATGTTGCATTTTGTGAGATACTTATTGCAGCTTTTCTGTGATGGCATAATCTTGCTTCATACGTGTCTGTTACCAGTTAAAACTTTGGTGCATGCTGTGGAAGTCTCACTGTGTCTGTAGGCATAAAAGTCTACCTCTACGAGAAGATATAGTAACATCCTTCTGTCGATTCATAATAAGCCTTCAGCTGCATTAGGAGATGTATACAGAACATTTCAGTCAGCCGGGCTCAAATGGTTCAAAAGAATTCTGGAACACTGATTCAATTATTCTTTATCATTGCTGTGTATCTTGTTGGGATAAGATTCAGTTTGTTACATAAGGTACACAGGATACACTGACAGAAATAGAACAATGTATTTTATACCAGTAGGTTTACACCTTAGTAAACTGAGGATTTTATTTAGATGTAAAATGCACATCTTTAGAAGTCCAGATATGTCTGTGGAGCAGACTCAAGATATTCAGAATTGCATCACACATGATTTTGCTGAAGTATTTAAACTTGATCCTTTGTAAAATTAGGTAATTTTAGACACAAAACTTGTAGAATTTTCATGGGCAAAATCGTAGTAGCTCATGAACCTAACCAAATCAATGACTGATAATGTGAGAATGCAAAAAAAAATTGAGTGGAACAAGACATTTTGTGTTTCTCTTTGAGATTATATTTACCAATGCCAAGCATGCAAGTCCCACAGTTTAAATGATCATCAATACAGTGAGTGTAAAGGCAAGTATGACTGTCCATTGAAGGAGGTGAGTAATTTGAAAAACCAAGTCAAATCGTGGAAGGTTATAGGGCTAACTTTTCAGAATAGAGCATGTTTGTGTAGAATGGAAGGCAATTCTAAAGATACCCTACAAAGCAGCTGTTTGAGAATTTTCTTCAGACAGACAATGAACTAATACTTTTTTTTTTTTTTTTTCTGGGTCTTCATCATATGAGAAACTAATAAACCCACCTTTGATCCTTTTTTATTTGGAACTTGTACCATACACACTGGTGGTCCCTTCTGTGACCTAGTCTGAGGATGACATTGCTTTATTTCTTGTATGCGGTTTTGTGAGCCCTGCAATATACAGTGCTTCTAGTATATATTGCAGTTTTGGAAATTCTTTGTGACTTCACCACAATCTCATGTAATTTTGCTAGTATACTACACCCCATATCAAGCATTAAACTGTTAAATTAAGCTTGCAGAAGAGCAACCCAAAATACCATGGTGCAACTTGCTTGTTATTTAGCATGAAAGCAGGTTTAAATATAGGTGTGTGCCTCTACATATGCTTGAAGCATCATTTTACCCCCTTTATTCCTAGCCTAGATGACAAGTTGATTATCAGTTTGAGTGCAGACTCTAAAGTGTAACTTGAGCTTGAACTTGAATTTACTTTCTCAGTTTGTTTTGAAACCATGTTAATCCTGTAGACTTCAGTTGAGTGAAAAACTCAAAGTTCAAGAGAATTTTTTCTTAACCCAAAGCCTCAATTCACAGAACTAACTGCTGAATAAAGTATTTATTCTGCTCACACGGCACAAGAGGTAAAATATTGTAAAAATTTCACGGGATAATGAAAGAAGACTTTTCCATCTCCTTATAATCTTATGAATCTCCTTGTAATGTTTTATTACTGCCTGATCCCTTTATTATTTCCTTCTACATTCTATAAGTAATTGTGTAAATTACTTGTAAACAAGCACATACTTGTTGTATTATCTTCCTATACTTTGAGAGATGATGGGCAAAATATTCTCTTAGTTGTATTACACTGTTATAGTAGCTTGCTATAAACCTTCATCAACATCTCTAATTAAAGTTTAAAAAATCAGAATCCTGAAAAAAAATTAGACCAGAGTGCTAGCTTTTTAGATTAGATTTACAATTCAGGTTTATAGGTTGATTTAGAGATTATATTAACTCCTTTCTTTGTAAAAGGAGGTGTGCATCCAATTATTAATACTCTGCAACACGTATATATGGGTATAACTTTTAAAAAAGTTGATCCTATAAATGTGGCCTCTGTGTAGTTATTTCTTTACATGGCTATGTGTAAGTGAATGATTTGTGCTGTTCACTCCCAGAAGCAATATTAGGTACATAAAAAGAATATGACCGTTTTGTTGTCATAATTGTTGTCAGCATAATCACAGAATGGTTGAGGTTGGAAGGGACCTCTGGAGGTCATCTGGTCCAGACTCTCTGCTCGAGGAGGGCCAACTAGAGTCAGTTGTCCAGGACTGCTTCCAGACAGCGTTTGAACATCTCAAAGGATGTAGACTCGACTCCACCACCTTCCTGGGCAGCCTGGTGCCAGTGCTTGGTGACCTTTGAAATGCAAAAGTGTTTTCCTGTGTTGAGGCAGAGTACTTTGTGTTTTCAGTTTGTGCCCACAACCTCTGGTCCCGTCACTGGGCACCACTGAAAAGAACCTGGCTCTGTTCTCCTTGCACTCTCCCTTCAGGTATTTGTATACATTGAGGAGATCCCGCTGAGCCCTCTCTTCACCAGACCAAACAGTCACAGCTCTCTCAGCTTTTCCTCATAGGATGGATGCTCCAGTCCCTTCAGCATCTTAGTATTAAGTAACATAAATTTGTATATAATAAGAAAAAGTACCTTGTAATCTTGTTAGTGATTCAGATTCCATAAATACAGGAGTTACTGTACTGGATGGGAAAATCTGTTTGTTGTGTATCCTGTATTTGGCACTTTGGATGGAAGTACAGGGTGGAATCCTCTAGCTAACATGTTCAATGTAAAATTCTGCCTTATGTCATGACTTAGAAGCTGTCTTATACCCTCAAAGATGATTGTTTATCACTCGTGAAATATCCTACTTAATGAGCCTGGAGGTTTCAGTCTGTGTACTTGCCTGATTCCTGATTTTTCTAGCACTTGAGGGAAAAGTGATATGTATTGACATTTTTAAAATACAGTATATTCATTATCTTTTGATTTTAATGTATATCCCCTTTTTTATTATGAATAATACTGAAGAAGAGTGCAGTCTGTCTTGTTTTTATTTTAAGCTACATAGTCTCCGATTTCTCATTCTCATTCCACGGAAGTTTCCTATTTGTCATCCTTCATGTTATGTGTATTTCTGACATGTTTCTGTTATATTTTTCAAGAAACTAATATGAATAGAGTATGATATGAGTTTGCCTGGAATATTAATAGTTTATGTGGTGGTTTTATAATCAAGGTCTCCTTCAGGGGTCTGGATTGGGAGCAGCACTAATCAATGTCTACATCAATGATACAGGGGTAGTGAGTGCACCCTCAGCAAGTTTGTGGATGACACCAAGCTGAGTGGTGCAGTTGATTTGATAGAGGGAAGGGATGTCGCCCAGAGGGACCCTACAACCTTGGAGAGTGGGCCCCTGTGAACCTCATGAAGTTCAGCGAGGCCAAGTCCAAGGTCTTGCTCCTGGCTCAGGGCAATCTTCAGATTGGCAATCTTCAATCAATACAGACTTGGGGATGAATGGATTCAGACCTGCAGAGAAGGACTTGGGGATAATGGTAGACGAAAAACTGGGCGTGAGCTGGTAATGTGCACTTGCAGCCCAGAAAGCCAACTGTGTCCTGGGTTTTTTGAAAAGGAGGGTGGACAGCAGGTTGAGGCAGGTGATATTCCTCCTCTACTCTGTTCTTGTGATACCCCACCTGGAGTACTGCATCCAGCTCTGGGGTCCCCAATGCCAGAAGGACATGGAGCTGTTGGAGCAGATCTAGAGGAGGGCCATGAGAATGGTGCAAGGGCTGGAACACCTCTGCTATGAAGGAAGGCCAAGAGAGTTGGGCTGGTTCAGCCTGCAGAAGAGAAGGCTCCAGAAAAACCTTATTGTAGTTTTTCAATACTTAACAGGCTTATAAGAAAGATGGAGAGAGATGTTTTACCAGGGCCTGTAGTGACAGGACAAAGAACAACAGTTTTAAACTGAAGGAAGGGAGGTTTAGGGTAGATAGAAGGAAGACGTTTTTTTACAATGAGGATGATGAGACACTGGAGCAGATTTTCCGGAGGAGCTGTGGATACCCCCTCCCTGGAAGTGTTCAAAGTCAGGTTAGATGGGGCTTTGAACAACGTGAACTAGTAAAAGATGTCCCTGGCTATGGCACAAGGGTTGGACTAGGGGGTCTTCAAAGGTCCCTTCCAACCCAAACCATTGTATCATTCTATGAATACAGATTATTTTCTTTCATACTCTTTTAAAAATATATATGGGGCTTTTGTTGTCACTGCATATTTGGTAGGGGCTTTTACTGAACTATTCAGGTGGTGTGCAGGACTACATATTGATTAGAATTCAGAATATATGTGAATATATGCTTTCGCTTGCCATGTGCTTTTCTGTACACTTACCAACTCTGAACTTTCTTTATAATGACTTTAGGGGGTGTATGCATTGGATTCCTCATCTGGCTCAGTGCAGAATCAGGGTCATGATTAGTATTATTAAGATCCTGATAGTTCGGTTCCAGCATGGGAAGTCATTCAAGGAAACTGTGCACAAGATACAGTTTGCAGTGTAACTAAGACAGTTCTAATTGGAGTTTTATCTTTGTTTTAAAGTGTTCTAC